CTTTGAGTGGTCGGAAGACTTGAAAGGCGCTATACAAGGTATATATATACAGGTCCATTTACCATTCCATTTACCAAATAGCAAAATCTCACAGAAAGAACCCTAAATGATCCCATCTTGGATCAGCAGTGGCATATTTCAGATTCTCTTAATGATTTTTTGTCATTTTATGTTGCTAATTTAATTGTCTGCCTCAGAAAAAGAAAGGCTGCTGCTCAGCCTTGCTTGCTTGAGCCAAAGATTGAGTGAGGAATAACAGCTGTAGAGCCAAAGTAGGGCTATCGTATATTATCACAGATTCAAGCAAACCTTTTTACCGGCATAGTAAACTGCATCAAAACAGAGAGAAAGTGTGAGTAAAGTTCGCCACTCGCTTGATTTGTTTAGCTGTTGCACCAAACAAACTCGTCACTCACTTCTTAGCTACAACTACTGGAGTGGTGAGGATGGGCACACACGGGCAAATATATCAGCCTGTTGTTGAACTGATGGTGGCTGGTTGGAATATTTTAACATTTCGCCCAATACTAGGTGCTACTGCTGAAAACAAGGGGTCTTATAACGTTAAGTCTTGAGACTAGCAGGTTGCAAGCTTGGACCTTATGGATTTTTGGGTTTTGAGAAATTTGGAACTGGGTCCTTATAGAACTGGGTCATGATCCCCATATCTAAATATGATATTGATTTATTTTCTCTTTTTGAAACCTGGTCATGCCATGAAGAATATGTTTGTCTCAATAAATCCACTCCTTCCAAGACGTATTATGTTCATACATACAACCATAATTAAATTTTTTCTTGATATCTTTTGTTTTTTTCTATTTTATTTTGTATCTGGAGCTGCTGTAACAAGTGAATTTCCCCAGTGTGGGATCAATTAAGTCTATCTTATCTTATCTTATTTTATTCATCCAGGCACCGGCCGAGGAGATGTTGTTACAGCCTATTAATAAATCCTAAATCTAAACTAAATTAGAACTCATTTGAAGGCCTTCTTCTAACTAAAGCTTATAGTTATAGCCCTGAAACATCTCTTAGTTATGCTGCTATAGGCTACTGGGGAACCCATGATGCACTGAGGTCCTTTCTCCTCCTCCTTGTGCTTTCTTGTCTTACATGTTCCCATGGATTGTGGTTGTGCCCAGATTAGGGATCAAGGTTGTGGCCCCTTGCCGAGAAAGGCATGTATTTGAGACAGGCGTGCAAAGATGGGTTTGCCTCTCTTGAGTTTTGTTGAGTAAATCTAACAACTAACAGCTTGAATTTTTGGTCATACTTTTTTTTCTGTGCCGCTGCCATGACACTTGAATGTGAGCATCGTTTTACAGCAGCTGAAGATTTACGCCACCCAGCATACAGACAGCGAGCAAGAGACTTCACATATATTCATAACTTGGATTCATTTTAATGAAACCCTTTGATTCTTTTCATTGGTGGACCCTTACAGACTAAAGGAGTATAAATAATTGCGTAATGAACACATACCATATGGTACAGACTTTATGGTCGCTTCAAAGGATGGGAGTCAGCACTTTTTTTTTGTCTCTCTTGTTTACCATGGCAGTAAATCTGAATGAATTATACTTTGGTGCTCATCGTTTCCATAAAATTAACCGATTGAATTGTGGAGAATCTAACTGATCTAATGATGTGTAGCATGTCCATATTGCCAAAAGTTTAACATTTAAATTTGTGTAGATAATCTAAGCTATCTCTTAGAACTCGCTCAAACAGGTGACCCGATGGGCTTTCAGACCTCTAATGGAGACCAGCGTTCATTTATCAAAAAGTGTAGCCACACTTTAGGCTAGTAAAGGTGACCTTTATCTATTTGGGACCGCTTCTATTACGGTATCGCTCTCTCTCTGACTCTGTTTTTTACTGAGGAAATGTTACATAATATATCTCTAACTTAATCAGTCCTGCTTGGTCTTAAATAGTATGATCATGAGGAACCGAGGCTTCATATCCACTCTGCATAGCTGGGAAGCCGGTCATTCACCCACAACCCGACATTTCCTTCCTTTTTTTGCGCTCAGTATTGTGTTGTTATCATTGTGCACAAAGGTACAACATATTTAATGTACTCGCACATGTGTCTGAAATAATATCTAGATACTGTGGTGAAGTATGATGACAAATTCTAAAGATTGTGAGATGAAGAAGATGTATTTGTATATCTTAATACAGTATATTTACTTACGATGGACAGACGACTTGCTTGCCTTTCTTTCCCTTCTTTGTGGATTTTCCTTCTTTGGCTGTGGTCAGTTGCCAACAAGACAGCAGCAACACAAGCAAGATCAGCGGCCTCAATCCAGCAGCCATGGTGCCTAAAACAGAGTTAAATGCTGGCCATAACATGTCACACATAACACAAAATTTAACAAGAACATTGACAATGTTGCCAACTTAGCAACTTTTTTGCAAGATTTTGGGACCCTATTAGTAACTGTTGGGATCTGGTAGGGTAGGTTTGGTTACTAATAAACATCAGAGATATGATATTAATACAATTAACTATTATTAATCAGGAACCAATAATTGAACTTCGGATGAAATCTCAAAACAGGTGTTTACTTAAAAATGTCCTTTAGATGAACAGAGACTGGTTGAATCTGAGCACATACTGTCACAACCAGCTGTTACCAAAACTCATACGCACAAATAATGACAGGTAAGTGTTACCATAACCAAGCACATTTAATTATAAGAAATGTTCATTCAGCATAAAGGTCTTAGACCTAACACATCGACTGGTACCAATCATGTCATGCTAGCATATCAGGAAGAGGACTTCCTGTCAAAAGAAGACGCAAGAAGCACAAGGTATTCAACATGAAAAACGTAATGCTATGTAAGATTTGGTATTGGCAATTCAGCGCCCCCAGCTGCAATACCACTGTCGTAAATACGGGCCGCTGTACATTTATTATCATTACAGTACTTATGATCAAAAACTAGCAAGTCGACAACCTTTCTAACACAGCCAAACATCGAGCAAACGCAACAACCCAAGACACAGCAAGCCAGCTAATAAAACGTAATAGTCCAACTGCAAGAAGGCCACCTGCTGTGTGTCTACAGCCCTTTATTTCACCAAGCTCTCACCAATGACTAAAAGCTAGTCAGAGATCTAGTATTGTCCGGTGGCTTCACTCTCCTTCTCTCTATTAGCTTCCTCCGTCAACCTCTCTGGTCTCTTTGCCTCTGCCATTAGCTAGGTCCATAGAAGCTACATTAACTGCTCACCCCACTCTTCTGGCACAACACTGCTCTCCGTCAGCATTCCTCCCCTTGTCTGAGGCCTGAAAACTAGTGTTGCCAGTGTAAATACTGGCAATCCCCCAGTGTTCTAAGTAGCAGTCCTGGGCAGTATGGATAAGGCAATTGTCCTTTTCCTGTCTGTTTCTCTCTATTTAATACAACTATAGGTCTATTTTCTGTCGACATTATCAAATTAACGAGAAGAAGCAATTTGTAGTTTTGAAGAGCAACAGGGGCAAGATACGCACACTAGCCAATTCAGAGGACCCCCACCGACGAAACAAAAATATTAGTGTAAAATTCGTTTTGTTAAGTAAGAACCAAAAAAGAGAAAACGAGCTGAACTTTTATTTTCGTTTTTAGACAAAGACGAAAAACGCTTGTCTGGTGTTGCTTGCTTGTG